AAAAAAAAAAAACAAAACAAAACAATCAGTACAGTTGAATATCTGGAATAGAAGTACAAGTCAATCTGCTTTGACTACCAGTCCCAGTCCGTCCTGATCTATTCTGAAGCTGTCAACACACCATCAAAAGTTGTTAGCAGCAAAATGGATAATTTTCTGGACAAAAGAAGACTACAAAGCATAGCTAGATTGGCAATCAAGTTATGGTACTGGCTACAGTTTCTGAAGACTTGGCTGACAAGGGCATGGCACACACAGCAGGTAGTAAATATGTCTGATGCACTGGCCAGGCACTGACCAAACAAAGCTTAATGGAACAGGAAGCACTGCAAAGCAACAGTCCTGCTTCCTATGTCTGCAAAGACGTTCTGGGACTTGAAGCTATGGACTGCCGTGGATGACTACTAACAATTCTACTGAAATAATCAACTCACAAGAATAATCACATTTTAGTTTGCCAAATTGAAGATCTTCTGACTTCTACAAAGCAGGCATATAAAAAGGCCTAAGCACAACCATTCATTTAGGACTGTATATTCATAATCTGTCTGAAACAGCAGGTTTCTACTGGTAGCAGCATGGCATACCAACTTCAAAGGTGAAGACCTTCACAGCTCCCCTCTGTCTCAAACATAGCAAGAGGCAGTACTCAGCAGCAAGTGGGTAATATTTTATGGTTTTCCTCTTCCAACTTCCAGCAGAAAGCACAGGTAACAGACAGGAAACACCTCAAAGCAAACACATTTCATTTTCTCTTCAGTTTTTTCTTTTATCAGTAAAAAACATACAGGAACATTCAAAGCCTAAGAGTTCAGATCAGGTTCTTGTTATTCTCCCCTGCTTGTATGAGAAGGTTAAATGCAGTCACTGAATTCTGCATACCACTCTCAGTCACGAAGAACCCTCTGGCACAGCTCCCAGACCAGTAAAAAATGACCATTTCAGTCCCCAAAGCATGGAGCCTGATCCATTTAAGCAAAACAAGTTCTACTGACAGCTGGTTTTCTTAGCATATTCATGTCTGTGTATTTATCAGAGAAAAGCCATCCAGGACAATATTGTTTATTTCAGGATTATTTCTGTGAACACAGGGAACACAGCATTCACTGAGCTACAGTGTTTCTACCCTAATATAGTTTTTTGTTAAAATGTGAACCAAGATGAACCCATTTTTATGTACTTTAGCATGGATGACTCATGAAGGAGAAAAAAAATTACAAACATTTAATTTTTTTCTCTGAACAAAAAACTCCAAAATCTTCTGATCCACATTCATGTGTAGAATGCTGACACAAACTTTTAAGCATTAAAATAGAAATCAGCTGTTCAATCCTGGACTGATTCTTTGGATTTAGGGTCTAATGACTTTTAATAAATGGGAAACAAAGATATGACGGGCAGTTTTATTACAAATGTCATCCCATACAAGTATCTAGTATACTTTCACTAGAAAGGCAATTTTGAACAACAAGATGCCTTCTACCAAGGAGTTTAGAGCCACTATGAATAACTCATGGAAATGCATCAGAGACATAAAGGGTAAATATCCCAGCAGGTCCTTATCATGCCCTGGAGCATGGCTGAGCCTACTTAGCTCTGCTGTATAACCCTCTTCCCAAAGCAAAGCAGCTCAGAGCAGAGGATGGAGAGCATCCTGAGACAAGTCCCCCACCCTGAGGTGGGAAGAAGGGAAGGATGAGTTGGGGACACACTCATGGATGCTGACAAGCACCAGTCTCTCAAGTTGTGTGGTCGGTCTGTGTGGTTTCTCAGCTTACCACTTCCTACAGAAGTGTGCAGAAACTGTTTTCTATGATACTACAGTAAAGATGGTAGTTTTCAAAAACATCTCATAAATATCCAATGTTTCATTTTAAGTCAACCTAATTTTGAAAAAATTGAAAGTAACTGTTATTGGCATCTATTTATTCATGTAATGCAACAAAAAGTCAGAGGAATTCTTAAAATTATTGAATGTAAGATTTCAAATTAAGGACATATTAAAAGTTGCTTTAATGTGTTTTGAAAAAATAGTATCGAAATGAACTTTTCAAATTAGCATGTTTTAATGAAAGAATTAAACCAGGTATTGTTATAAATAGTTATTGATGAGATGTTTATAAATTAATACAAGAACTTCTCATCCCTAAATATAGGGTTGGTTGGTTGATTGCAAGAAATGCACTTGACACTTGCAGCCAGATGTCACACCATGAAAGTCAATAAAGCACCGGTACTGACTTGAATGATCCACAACTCTTCTCTACTTCATTTCTACCTGCTGTTTCAATATGTGAACCTTTTCAAGCCAACTAGTGTACTAACATCTTCACCCCAAACCATAAAAGGCAGACATTTCCCTGATTTTGGAAATCTCTCTTCCGAAGTATATGACAAAGAGCAGTCAAAGTCTTAGTAGTATTATGCCTACTGTCCATTAAAAAAAAAATAAAGCAAATGTGTTTTTAAAAAACCCTTCAAAGCAAAAAACCTATATTCACATTTCTAGGACTCAAATTTGCTGACAGGATCTGTGGGTATATATCATTTTTAGAAAGGGCAATGTGGGAATGCATGCTTATATGGCAGAGCACAAGAGCAATGAAACCTCTTGGGAAAGCAGGAGATAACTCACTTTAAACAAACAGACCCTTTTCCTCTTATTGCTCTACAAACCTGAAATGTTATTTCATATGTCAGGAAAATGCTATTCCTGTTTGCTCTATTCTTCCTAAAGTGAATATATTTCAGTATTAGCAAAATAATTGTGGGAATTTGGTATTTTTCACTTTCTGTTGAGTTCTTGGGAATTTTATGTTGGGAACTATCAACTACTACTTGGTACACCTCAAAATCTGCTGCATAGAAAAAATACACTGGTAGTTTGCTTACATGGCTTTTGCAGAGCCAATTACTGTGAGCAGCAGGAAAGATCTTTATAAGAAGAACACAATTCAAATGTAACATGCCATGGCCTCAAGTCACTAAACTAATCCTGAGGGTTTCTTGAGGCTTTTTGTACTTTTGGCAAAAAGTATAAAGAAGTACACATTGTTGCTTCAATTCCCAAACACTGAGAAGTATCTAGTCTGTCAGTCCCTGCTAAACACAGCAGAGACTGGTTTTGGGAAAGAACAAGAGAGAACTGTATGTTTGCTATTAAAGCACAATTATACAAATGCTGGAAACATACCCAATACATTTTTTCATGGCACATAAGAAGTAGCCAGCAGCATAAAGGGAGGTGCAACAGCTTACAAGCGAGTAATTATGCATTATCAGAACCTAGATACTGTGATGAAAATGTTACAAATGCAGAAAGACAGATTGACTTAGATGAGTAAAGTATCTCAACTTCAACACACAGATAATGTGACAAGGTGTGGCACAGAACTCCAAGGCTTACTGGCATGATTTTAACATGACTATCAGCTATAAATGACAAAAGCCATAAATACATCAGAATGTCAGACACATACCAATACCACTCAAGTATCTTTCTGCTGTATCGTTCTACATCACACATCTAAAATCGGATGCTCTTTAGGGCACTGAGAAAATGCAAGACTTTTAGGAAGACAAAGACTTCCTTTGTGTCACTATTCTGCTAGGCATCAAGAGGTTAATATCTTTCTAAAGATACTGCTAAAAGTGGAAAAATATGCAATGTATTCATTAGCTCATGGATGATTTAGACAGATATACCTGGGTGGTCTGAAACATACTTAACCATCAACATGCGACTACGGCTGGAAATACAATGGAAACTAATAGTAGCCCATTTGCTTTTAAGAGTTCAGAAAAAGAATCCTTTGGAACATAGAAGGATAATTACATATTTGACTACAATTATTCCCTCAACTGATACTGACAAAAAGGAATTAATTAATGAAAAATATGAAAATGTGAAAGCTACTAAATACATTATCTGTGTATTTGCACATGCACATGCAATCTACGTTTTCTTAAAGTTTCTCAGAAGTCTTATGTCTAAGTCAAATTCTGGTTTTTATTTTCTAAACTGCACCCAAGAGTTTATCCAGATCAATATTCTGCGGATCAAAATGTCAAGATACCATGTTTCTTCACTCACACAGACTTTATCTCCAAGTTATTATAAAGCTGTGGTAGTCAGTATTTCTCATCTTTCCTCTACACAGAAGAGTCATCACTAGTTCAGAGGAAATCAACTACCCTATTAGCAAAAATAACAACACATCATTGAAACCATGCTAGACCAGCTTGAATGTGGTATACCTGAGAGGTCTAACAGTTATTTTTTTTTAAGCATTACAAGACAGATACTGAAGACAAGAGGAAGCATTAAAACATTCTCAATTTCAAAAAAAGGAATAAATTCAATGAAAGAAGATTGATTTTTAGTCCTCAGTCTTCCATTTTAGTAAAAATCTGTTTCTCAGCAGATTTGCCAAGTGGTAAACAGATCAGTAAGGTTCAATGCCCTTAAAATTAAATATTCAGATATTCTCCCGAAAAAAGCAATTTACTAAAGAAGCAAATTCCAAAAGCATCACTAACCAAGCCTTTTAACTTCTACAATAGTTTATTCAAATGCACTATGTTCATACAGAGAACTTACCTTCCCTCCCCCCCCCCCCC